ACATGATGAATTTTATTATAAAAAGTCGCATGCAACAGTACATAGCTGTGAAAGGGCAACTATAATGCTAACAAAATTGTCCTTTAACAATTACTGGTGGTGAAAAACGTTTACCTATTTTGAAAAAAAAAAATGTTTCTCTTTTAAATCTTACGGAACATTTAAAAAAATGTGTGTTTATGTGTGGGGGAGGGGGCTACATTGATAATCTTTTTAGGTTTATTTATATTGAATTAATGCCTCAAGATCAGAAATATTCTTGAGCTTCAAGACCTATATAGATGTACGATTGACATAAAGCATTTTCTTTGCTTCAAAAAATGTAGAGAAACAGCAAAACTCTTCTGTGTTATACTTTGTACAAGAAAATATTCAATATTAAATGATTTTTACTATTACCTGGTATTATCATTTCTGTAAAATTGTAAAAATTTAATATTGGTACTTACAAAGATGCCTCTTTATCCATGCCTACAGCTTTGGTATATAAGATTGTATTATTGAGTGACAGATGTAAACAGGTTATATGTTGCTATATTTTATGTATCATGAGCTTAATCATCAACGACTTTGATGTGAAAAGACTTAATGGAGACCTACAACATTACACTACATTGGCTAATTCTTGTTGCTTGTGTTAGATCAATAAACCTTAACAGGTATGAAATTGTCATGGTAAAACTCCTACATTTTACAAAGCAATGCCACTTAACATCCTTTCCCATCTAACAGTCTATGTGCACTTTTTGATTACCTCCCTTGAGTACATCCTGTCTTACATACAATTCAATGCCTTTGATTTCTGTTAAGAGCTATGTCCATCAACGATATACAAGTGTACATGTTGTACATACCTTTGAGTCATGCTCTCCTTAAAATGAATGAAGTTGAAATTTTACTATCTTGTCAGGATTCTTTACAAAAAAACAAAACAAATGAAAGCTCTTTGATGTCAATTCATACAACAAAAATGGCTGTGGAAAATGGTGTTCTTAGCATTTTTTCAGAAATATTCCTCAGAGACTGTTATAACCTATCTGAAGCTGTGTATACATTTGTAAATGGATGCCTTAAAAATGACAAAAGCATATGATCAGTAGTGATCTAATCCTATCAAATAATCTTTTGTTTCAACAAGAGGCCAAGTGGCCTTGACGGTCATCTGAGATAAGAAATTTTGATTAAAAAGGGAAAGTAGCTTTCAAGTGTCATGAGAAAGAAATTGTGACATTGATGATAGTAAACCAGTGTTAATACAGGCATACCATCCAAACTGTCATTCTATACTAATAAATCTTACATATCCTGAGGAAAATGAATAACGTTATGCTCAAAAATGCAGTTTATCTATAAAAATTATAGTAAAGTTAAGCTCCTCTTCAGGAAGAAATGTGATACCTACTTTGGTAATGAAACCACCTAGAGACACTTTCATCCTAGAAGAACATTTGATTGAATCATATCTGAGCGTTGAGAAGAAGATTATGGAAATTTAAGTCAATTTTACCCCTTTTGGCCCTGCCTAACAGCCCCTGAAGATCAGTCATGATCAATATGGGCATACCATCCAGCTATCATCCTTCATTCATAATTCTAATGAAGTCTGAAATATTTCCAAAGGAAATTAAATAAATTATACTCAAAAATTCTATTTTTCCTATATAAAATATCGTAAACTTTACCCCTTCCCTACAGAGAAATGAGACCTTGAGTCCATGAAATTCACAATTTTGGTAAACCACCTTAAGATTCTTCCATCCATGAAGAGCATTGGATTCTACCATATCTGGGTGTTGAGAAGAAGATTTTTTAAATCTGAGTAAATTTGACACTTTTGGCCCCACCTCTCTAGCACCCATGGGGTGGGGACCATATAATTCACTTTTTTGTTTTATCTTTGACCAGGGAAGGTTTTCTGCAAAATTTCATTGAAATTGAGACGAAGTCGAAAATGTCAAATTGTTTACAAATGCACAACGCCAGATGAAGGTGTTCCCTAAGGGTCACCACGAGACTTTGCCTTGGGCAACTTAAAAAAACATAAACAAGGAGTTACACTAGGCCCAGCTTTTGGTAAGAAAATTCAAATCAACTTTCAGTCATGGCTTCATAATACCAATTAATATTTTGATATTCATTTGTAAATCCGAAGTGTCTTTCACTGATGTTTTTGATCACTATTTGGTAATATCGAGGATTAATCTGCTTGACAGAAAATAAGCTCTGGTAATACGTCATTTATTTGAGTTATGTGGACTTTTAAATCACTTGATCGCTATTTTGTGCCATAGTAATAAAAAGAATATCTAAAATGAAATCTTACAAATTACTAGATCATAGATCAGTTGAACAGTTTTAGAGTTTTTGCCCAGATCATAAGATTGACACATATATGGAAGAAGCCATCTAATGTTAAACATCCCTCAGAGTGAAGTTTTATGGGTCCCAGAAATCTAACGTTTGTGTTCAGATGAAAATTTTAAAACAGAGAAAAAGAAAATTCTGAGTTACCAAAGTTGAATAATGAATAATTTGCAACTGAACCTTTACATATTAGAAACATATATATTTGTAAATTTGATTTGGCATCTGACATCTATTCTGCTGCAGCCACCAGATTTGTATAATGACACACATATCTCCTTCACTGTTAACCATGATATAATTATTGTATACGTGGTGGAATATCCGAGGTATATTTCTAATTGACAAGTAACCTATAAACTTTCCAGAGAAAACTGGTTTGTTCAGGTATCAAACATAAAAGTATGCATGGATAGACATAACTAGTTTCCATTAAACTGTGACATATTCAAGCAATAATTTCAATTTCTATATTCTAAATATCCCATTTTCAATACAGTATCTAATTGCCCTTGTAGGACAAAAAATCAAAACGGGTTTCTTTCCTTGCAAACAAGAGTATAGGGGTAAAAATAAACATGTCCCATGCCAAAGGCATAAAAATGTACCTTACCGTATCAAAATATGAAAATGCAACAATATTAGTCAATATATTGCTAATAATAAAGAAAGCTATATATATATATATATGTATAAACATTTAAAGAATTTGTAATGTGGTTCAAAACAAAGAAGGAATCTATTGACATATTGTGTAGAAAATAATCAACAAGAACCAAAAGGGGCAGTAATTTGTTGAGCTGAAGTGCAAGCGTGTCATGTTAAAATACAAAGATATATTATCAGTAAAACAGAACTGACAAAAGAAATCTCTGAACAGGATTAAAACAGTAAAAGAAACAAATTAAAGGGCAATAATCATTTCTAAATCTTACAAAAAATTGTTGGAGTGAAATGTCAATAGAGAAACATGTTCATGTCATGATGACCCAACCTGCAAAGTTAAAGGTTATGGGTCATCACATGACAATATTCATACAGTACTCATCAAGTGTTGTGGTACTCAAACATCCTGTGGGTGTAGAGTGTTACCGATACATTGGTGCAGCGGATTAAGTATGGCCTGTGTTTTAATGTTGGTGTTTCAACTGACCAACATCCAATACTGGGGAGACAAGTGTAAGGCATTACGGTTATACGACAGGTCTGAAAATTCGAAGCTGGAAGTTGCAGTGATGACCAGCTGTTACATACTGGCTATATTCTATGTAATAGATACTATCAGGATACAATACATGTAGTACTAGCAACCAGTTACACTGCTTATTAAGGCCTTTTTTCTTCATTTTTCAATGTTTACCTGCTATTTATTCATTAAATATGAGAAAATGGTGTTTGACTTGTGTTGTTTTCGCTAATTAGAAATGCAATGAGTCATCCTAACTGTAGGTTGTGACACAACTGCAACTACTTTATTTTTAGCCATGAACAGCAATGAAAGCTCTGTAGAAAGCATGGCAATGTCAAACTTCAGACGTGCACTAGAATCAAAAATTCAATCGTAATTAAACCAAAGTTGCCATATATGGTTACAGACTGAATGTTTTAAACAGCAATAATTCAAGTTTACTGCTACCTATATCATCAATATTTATATATTTATGATCTTATATACAGTACTTACTGCAACTGACTATGAGGACATTTGGTCAATTTACAGAAAAAATATTGATTACGACATTAACTTGCAGTACATGACAATGACCATCATCTGATAAGAACATGCACTACACCCCCAATCCCAGAATGTTCGGTTTGAGACAACCATTTTCTTCTCGTACAATATAACGAACTGTCATATCATCCATTTGCCTTCACAAGGAAATGCTACTTAAATGTACTTGATTTATCGTCATGTCAACAATGAAGTACCTTGACCTACAGCAGGAAGGAGGAAAGTAGGCAGAGCTCAGTTATCTGATCCGTAATCAACCACTGTTTATTGATAGTAAAACAGACTAGCCGATTCTGGTGACAGATCCACTTTTTAGGAAATGCACAACTTAAATCTTACTCTTTAGAAAAGGTGCAAATTAAGACACACCCTTCCACATTTACATGACATGGTTTTATTTTGACTTTTTTTCATCCAAATGTCATTCCCATTCTAAATGGTGATTTTATGTAAAATCTGTGCATTTCTTTGCCACTGTTAGGCTAACTTATGTGGCTCTGTGATTGTGATACAGCGATGTCACCAGAAACGGAAATGTGACATGTTTCCGATATACTTTTGTCATTTCAGATGATCGAATTTGAGGTTGTATTTGTGGATATCTTTCATAAAAAAAATACTAGTGTTTCACTCACTTTATAACATAAATTTCCTAGTATTAACACATTTCAATCCATTTATGTTTTTGTTTGTTTGCAATTCATCAACGTGGCCCGTAGTACTCCTACAGAGATACGATTAACAAGGTGTTCGATATAATGCGACAATCATACTAATCTTTATAGCTTCAATCAATCGGCACTTGCTCATAAAAAGAAAATCGTTAATTTAAAATATTGTTGTCTGTCTAGTTCTGCAATATTAAGTAGTATGCTGATGAATAAACTTAGCACATAATTACCTGTTCCGTTGTAAAGGACGAGGTTGCCTTCGTTTCAATGATTCTGAAGCTGTGTCGTCGGAGTCTTCATGTCCATTTTCAAAGCTTAGCTGTTGTAACTGTTCATCCATTTTAAATAGAACTGATCGTGATTCATCTCTGCTTGTGATATTGTTCTTCTGTGTCGGGTCAGTCATAGTTTCCAGTTATAGGTAGCCCATGAGCTAATAAGTGTCTAACCACCGTTAGGCTACCGCATCTCGCATTCCATGATACAACACGAGTTGTTTTCGTGTTGTCGGGGTCAATAAAACGCTTGAAATTTTTCACAACCACATACAAATGAAAGTCAAATAAATGATGACATAGATACTTATAATGTCCTTCGAATTCCAATTATGGTACATAAGGCATTATTATATCTGATATTTATTTGTGTAAAATAAACAAACTTCATTTAGCAGGAACAGGAGTTGTATTTAAAGCGTTAGCAATACATAGAGTAAGTAAAGGAAAATTACGAACTCAAGAAGGGGATTAATAAAGTGAAGCGAACCATTTCATATAGTTTCTATGCATTCTTTTTTACCTGAAGTGTGCACTTATTGTAAACAAAGTTTGCCGGTCAACTGTAGGACTATGTTTAAGGTTAATAAAATAAAAAAACAACAAACATCACGACAAGAATTACAACTAACAACAATATGTTACATGTACATCACTGCCACGCTTGAGACGAACAGATATTATAGACTTATATGATGAATCAACGGATTAAAAGGAGAAAACACGGGGGGGCTCCTCTTAACTCCCATAGAGTTATTAATGTACATTGTATAGAAATTAAAGTGATTATAATGAGTCATACATGCAAAAACACTTAAATGCAAATCTGATGATATTGATGATGATGGATGTATAATGTTATTGTTGTTGTTGTTGATGATGATGATGATGATGATGATGATGGTGATGAATGTATTATGTTGATGTTGTTGTTGACGATGATGATGATGCTGATGATGATGATGTTGATGATGATGATGATGATGATGATTATGTTGATGATGATGATGATGATGATGATGATGATGGTGATGAATGTATTATGTTGATGTTGTTGTTGATGATGATGATGATGCTGATGATGATGATGTTGATGATGATGATGATGATTATGTTGATGATGATAATGATGATGATGATGATGATGATGATGATGATGATGATTATTATTAAAAAAAAATTAACTAATAACTTGTTTAGCTTCTTAATCCATCTTTCCTGCAGTCAATGCTTTTAAGTGATTGTGGATCGCATGTTTCTTTGTCTCGGTGGCTAATGGTAGAAGGCTACTAGTATTTACCGATTTTGGCGAAAAGAAATATCCCTAACCCCCTTGACTTACAATAATTCCAAGAATTATAACAAATGAGCAAATCAATGTTTATAGAAAAGAAAAGCTTATCTTTTAAATGATCAACAATCATGATCATACAAGTTTCTTGATTTTCCAAAAATGAACTAATGTGACCCTTTTTATACAAAACTAAGGTGGAGGGAGTGTGGCTAGCAGATCTTTGAAAAAAATGTCTCTACATGCGATTGTATAAAGAATATTCTTTGATAGTTGTTAGTTTGAGTCTTGCTTCCGTTGTTGTATACCTTGTCCTCATTTGAGAACGTGACATTACTTACTTGGATTGACCAAACTTTACATGGCGGGCGTCTTCGATGAAGCAGAAGACGCTTACTCTTCCGTAACACATGGTCTTATTTTCTTTGTGCTTTTTTAAGAGTCTCCGTGTAGATCTTTTGATATTTTACCTTAGTTTTATGGAATTTGAGTTTATGTTGACATGTTGTTTGATTACTGACATGATAGGGCGCACGACATTTGTTGTCACTGTATAATCTACTGATGATACCTCAACATTTCTCTCAACACAATGATGGCAAATTAGTTTGGAAATACAAAACTGTGATACGTTTTTATAATAAATGACACCCGTATTAAATCAGAAACGCCGCATGTGTTAAAACAGATCGCCTTCAAGCATGTTTGACTAATTTGTTATTCCTTTGTCCTGTTCTGTTAAGTGACGATATATATCAAAACAAATTTCTCTAAAGAAAGAAACAAGGAATACAAATTACATCAAAGTCTTTACTCTGTTTCCTGTCATATTCACCACACAAGAATCCATGTTTTTGGCGTGGTATTTTTCATTAAAATATAAAACATAGTAATAAATATCTATGACAGACATGAAAAGTACATATAATTATCACAATCTGAGTCGGTAGATTTATATCTTACGACTTAACATAAATAAGGCCCTGTCACGTGATAACATCCTACATTTCTGTCCTGACATAGTTACTGTCGCCGTCCTCCCATTGTATACGCACAAGACAGTCAATATCAGGTCTCCAGTTATTATTCGGCTGATCTAGAATTTCCTCCATAGTATCGTGGTTCATTCGATTTATCATGAGGCCCCCGACGGAAAATGAATTTCATGATTTCAAAGATGTTTTGAATCGTTTTCTGAGACAGTTTTTTTTATTATTTATTTAATAACAAACATCAACCCCTGACTAAATAAAAGACTTTATTTTGTTTGAAAAAAACTTGTCGATCGACGTCTGTAATCCAGAAGACTTCCTCATTTTTTATAATTTGCACTGTAACAACATTATAATCGGAAACGTTGAAATGACAGTAAGAAGTATGATAATAGGACGTGTATAAAGTTCCGGAAAGCAATGCACTAGGCCTAGTTATTCAACAATTTTCTATTTATATTTTTTTATTTATCAAAAATATTAGATATTTATTTTCATCCTAAGTTTTGTAATTTTGTCCGACAATGCACGGACTTTTTATGTGTAAGCCCGGGCTTTTTCTTTCGATGGAAGCTATGCCCCTGAATCAGGGACGTATATATATACGTCCCTGCCTGAATATACATCTATAGGTATCGGGTATCCATTAATTTATTTGTTGCATCATTTACGTTTTGTAAACATCAATGGGCAGCTCACTTATTGATGAAGAATTTTGCCGACATTTTAATTATAAATATATTTTACTCTATACGTTAAATATGAAGTTATTGTATCTACGTGTAGCTACAATGTGGTTATTTAATTGACACTGGTGATAATTATCTGTTGATGTGAAAGAAAATATTTATGGATATCAATAAATGAAATATTTACTGATTTTAATATTCCCGTAGCAATTAAAGCAGAGACATATTATATTTGTCATTTAGTTCTCTCCTATTATATTTTTGATGGCTGGGCTAAGGGAAGTAAGTGAAATGATTTTCGTTTCGTTTGCTAGTAATTTTTATATTTATACAAACCGTTCTCACCTGTGTTTGTTGTTGGGGCAGACGAAGTTTTGTGGAGAGTAAAGATGGGTGAGGTGTGTCGAATTTCAAAGTGAAAAGGATCGAGTTAGTGTGCAAAATGACGAACGATAGGATTTTCGAAGCTGCTAAGCAAGGAGATCTGACTTACTTACAATCTCTGAGTTCAAGTTTTAATGAGAACACCTGTGATGAAAACGGAGCCAATTGTTTACATTATGCTGCAAGAGGAGGGCGACTTGACGTGGTTGAATATTTAATTAAGAAACGATACTTCAGTGCAAAGAAAAGAACAAGAGTTGGGGCGACTGCCGCTCACGATGCCTCTGCAACAGGTAAAACGGCTGTACTGCAATGGTTATTAAAACACACCGACTGTGTTGTCAATGACCAGGATGGCACAGGTGCAACTGTCACCCACCTGGCGGCCAGGTATGGTCATGGGAGACTCATTGAATGGCTCATGGACGAAACTGATGCTGATGTAATGATGAAATCTGCAAGTGGAGCTCTACCCATACATTTCGCTGTGACAGGAGGCAACCTAGATGCAGTAGATATAATTGTCAAGGAAACGCCCAGGTAGAATATCAAACACTACATTAATCAGATTACTGGAATGATGTTTATTAGTGTAGTTTATCCATCTTTGTAACATATATATATCATGGCAGTACAATTATTAATGTGATTGATTTGAATTCTTTTATATATATGAACAAAGTGCTGTTTTAGTATCTTTCATCAAAATATCACTAATTTGAATTATTTATATCTATAACAATACATATTCCGATATATCAATTATTCTGAACAGTTCAATTGTTCTATTATTCATGAATTCCCCAGTCTGACAGGGTAATGTTGTAAGTAAAGTTTACCTTGAAAAATTATTTTTACTATATTGATGATAATTTAAGTAATTAAAAGCATATAATTAAAGACAACCATTCATGATGTTGGGCCTGTATTATAACATGCTGTGATAGAGGACTATTGGGTTTGTTCAAACGAATGACCTCGTGTTTGCTTGCTAGGTCACAGGGGTCAAATGTTGTAAACATTTAAACCTACTCAATAATCATCTTAATAATGTAGGTACCCAGGATACTGATATTGAACATGTATGAACGGCAACTTGTTCAAAGCAATGGCCTTGACTCACTGCAATGTATTTCAAATGTATCAAAATATTAAAACAAACCCCTTCTCTATAACAATGAAGCCAGGGTGCTGATCTTGGGCCTGTAGCATCCTGTGATGAAACTATGTCAAGTTTGTTCAAATGACCCACTCTCAAGGTCACTTGAAAGTAGTAATATGGCTTGGCATATAATGTTATAGGTACTGAAAGATTCATTATGTTTGGGATATGTACCATTTCATCTGATTCGGTTAAGATTAATTGGGAAAAGATATTTGTTCTTTCCGATTTCCAGAACAGTCAACTTGCAGATGATCAATGGTGTGACACCAGTGTACCTTGCTTGTCAGGGGGGACAACTTGACATCCTTAAACTTCTGGTGCAAAAAGGAGGTTCTATAAAAATGAAGGCATTTGATGGCATGTCCTGTCTGCATGCAGCTGCACAACTTGGAAGGATTGACTGCATCAAGTGGCTGGTAAATCTTATTTTAATAAATAAAAAAGACAATGATAAATAACAATTGTCTTTGACATTTTAATCAATATAAGAACAAAGTCAAGAAGGAATACTAGCACATGAGACAACTATAGACAATAGAAATGCAGTGCCTTGGTAACAGATCTTTGTTTATAAGTCTGATTTCGACTTTGGGGTTATTAGATCCAGATTCAATAATACAGTGCTATAGAATGCATAAGATGACTTTATGTTCAAAATCAGAGCCATGTAAGTAACTGTGATATTTAATATAAGTAAGTTTTCTTTTCATTTCTCAAAAAGTTCCAAAGCAGCAGCACATTCATTAAATGAATTAAAAACCTACCTCTTAGTGAGTATTCATATTAATTTCAGTCCAGGAACTTAAATTACAATCATATTATTACCTAGTTTTAAGTGCAAATATTTGCATATGAAATTGTAGAATATTTGATTTCATAAAATGGTAATAAATTGACATTACGATGTCACTTTCACACATGACATCTAATTAGATATAGGATATGACTTCAAAAATCATACCGAAAAGTTTATCATCTCCAATATCAATGTAAAAAGTAAATACTGGATGTAGCATTTGTTTCCCACTCACACAAGATTGGTGAAATTTTGATGAAATTTGTTATGAATTTCTGTTTCAGCTCTCCATATTCTTGTTAAAATGTAGAATGCTATTTCCCTTTTTTTCAATATTTATTTGCCCTAAGTGGCCTGCTAGGTTTTAAATTAGGCTCTTAGCATCACTGATCACAGGATAAAATTGTATGATATATTTTGATTGATTATTTGGCTCTGTTGTATCTAATTCTACATTTATATTGAAATATGCTATTCTCAAGTTCTTTTTTATTTGTGTTTTATTTGGCTCTGCTGTATCTAATTCTACATTTATATTGAAAGATACTATTCTCATTTGTGTTTTTAGCCCACCCTCTGATGATGTTGGGCTATTCAAATTGCTCTGCCTTCTTGGTCTGTCGTCTGTTTGTAAACAATTTTTATTATATCGCTATTTCTTGAGAAGTACTTGATTGATCTTTCTCAAATGTCATGTATAGGGGCCTGTAGGTCCCTAATTGTGCCTGTTAGAGTTTGAGACTGATAAAAAACACAAAATGGCCAACATGCCGCCATCTTGGATTTTTTCAATGAAGTTTGTTAATTGCTATTTCTCGAGAAGTACAGGATGGATCATTCTTAAATTTTACATGTAGGTAGGTTCTCCTTTGTCCCTAGTTGTGCCAATTCAATTTTGGGTCTGATCAGAAAAACAAAATGGCAGACTGATGGATATCTTAGATTTTGACTTTGAAAGTTTGTCATCACTATATCTTGAGAACCACAGCATAGATCTTTCTGAAAATTCATGTGTATGCTTTCCTTGATCCCTAGTTTTGCCTGTTTGATTTTGATACTGATCAGAAGAAAACAAAATGTCAAACAAATGACCATCTTGGATTTTGACTTTGAAAGTTTGTTATTACTATTTCTTAAGAACTACTCCATAGCTCTTTCTCAAATTTTATGTAAAGGTTCCTGAAGTTCCCTTATTGTGCCTGTTGAGTTTGAGACTGATCAGAAAAACAAAATTGCCAACAGGCAGCCATCTTGGATTTTGCCTAGTAAAGATGTTATTGCTGATTCTGAAGAAGTGCAGAATGGACATTTCTCAAATTTCATACGTATGTTCCCTTTGGTCTCTCCTTCTGCACATTTGATTTTGGGACTGTTCACAAAAAACAAAATTACTTCTAGGCATTTGAATTTGCAGGTTAAGATTTATCACCACTATTTCTGTAAATGTCTTACCATTAAGAGCAAAAACAGAGAAGATAACTGAATGGGAAAGATCCTACTTTTAAAGAGCATATAAAGATCAAACAATGGTGGGCACCAAGGTCCGTCTTGGATCTCTTGTTTAATTTGTAAGCTCCCTTGCCAACTATCAAAATTAAAGGATTTGTCACATACATTGGACACTTATTGAGTTATGCCCCTTTCATTGCCAGTTTTAAACTAACATATTTTGTTGTACAAAGATCTTCATCTGTCAAAAGAGATAAAGTGTTTAAAATTGAGGGATTTTAATGTATATCATATCCTGTTACTTTTTCATAATTTTGAGGATGGAATTTAATGATGAAAGATAGATACCTTGAAAATAAAGTCAAAAGAAAAAAAATTAGTTCTTTGCATGTCTTCAATGAAAATAACATGAGCAAACCTTTTACAATTTTTTATGAAATGAGGAAAATTTCAAAAACCTTAAAATAACGATCTCTACAAGTATTTGTAATAAATCACACAAGTGCTTGTTATAAAAATCAATGAAAATATATCTGTACTGTTTTGAAACAAATAACTTCTCAGCATGCTTCATGTCATAGTGAAAAATCAATACTAAAGTGTAGGATGTTGAGAAATGCTACAGGATATTAGTTTACAATATTGATATTGTGAGTGGATTTTTATGTCAATTTGTTATACAATCAAGCTTCTGTAATGAAAACATGTAGAGTGGTTTTATTAAAAAAGATTCTTAATTGATGAACCAGTAATATAATCAGCAGGATCTGAAAAGTTACCAGGAGAATTGATTTACTTTTATACCATAATCTCTAATTAAATCTATAACTCTGCTTAAGGTATCACTCGCCATTTTTATTACAAACCCATCAAAGTCGCCAAATTAATTGAACATTGAAAAGTGATAATGACATAATTTTAGTTGTGATGTCATATGATTATGATCATCTGATTAATATGCTCTTATTGACTGTCTTATTTGCTGAAAATTTGTTGATATAGATCTAAAGGTTTTAAGGCTTCGTCCATTACTATGCAATTCAATGAAATTACAGCAGAGCTAACTTATAAAAAAGAAATGGGAAATTTGAATGTTAATTAAGTTTTAAAATCATGAAAACAGGTTAGTACTAAGCTTATGTATACTGTTCAGATTTTCAGATCATAAAACAATATTACTGTATTAATTCTATTTAACATTACACTAAGAAACAATGTAGTATTAAGTCATATTTGGTTCAGGTTCCCACTCTATCTTACATTTACCAATATTATGAGTTATTAATTGGTGTTGGTATGATTTGAAATGGTTGTTATTACATTATAATTTGACTTTCGAATCACTTTCGTTTATTGTCAGCAAACAGACATGATTTAAGGTTGTACCTTAATTAGATAGTGGTCACTGAAGTTAGTCATGTTCTGATAAATATAAATTTATACTTATTTTGCATCATTGAATTAATCAATCTGTCAATACTTGAAAATTGAATAAGTAGAGGAAACATGGTGAAGGGAGATAACTTGAATAATGCTCTCAAGATTATGAGAAACAATTGATACGATAATAAAATTGATAATAATTATTCAGGTAACCAAACCATATCAGTATTAAGTCAACTGATAATTTCTGTGGGTCAGTTATAAGGGTGATATTGATATATACACACTTACCAAGGAAGTGTTTATTTTGAATACACGTATGCATAAAAATAACTACAATCAAACTTGGATGTTTGGAAGTTCAAGGGACTACCAAAAAAACTTTGATATGTCGAGACTTCGAATCATACGTGGTGGGTTATATCTATTAACGTAACCGAGATGTTTATCACTTGCAGCAATAAAACCATACAACTGGAAACATTTATATATGATTCGTTATTTACACAATCCTATAACCACATACAAACACACAATACTCTCTCACCATACCAACAACACAGTAGCATATAATATATTATATTATCCCTACAATATATTATAATACCCTACTACACTACAACAAACACGATCAGAACTAATACAGTCTGTAGCTTGGCGAATCCTCGTTCCCACACTGGATCACCGTAACGAAACAACGAAGTTCGAACACAGTCTCTCCTCATCAACACAAGTCAACCACAAGACAGCACAACCATGTTCCCGACAGTGTACAGATTCAGCTGTACCGTCACTCAGCTTCAGTAGTATCCAGAAACTGGCTATGTCGATGCCAAGGCCGAGTAGAGTATGATGTGTCAATATACACATGTCACGTGCGACTCTCCATACATCACCGATACATAACAATAAGCTCATGTATATAACATAATACAGAAGCTAGAGTCATTCCACGTGGCCAAACCTCCAAACTTCACAACAAGTTGGTACTGGACAACATCACAAACCCTCGTGATTTGTCGTAGATAAATATACACAGGTGTGACTGAGAATCCGCTGGGTAGTATAGGTTTCCATAGTTCCAAACTAAGTCAGGGACTTCTTAGGTAGTAGTGGTAACGGTAAAAGCTACAACAAATTAATTAATTTCTATAACTAAATTGTCATATAACAATATAGACATAATCACGAAATAAATATACCATTAGAAGCAATATACCTTCCCATAACACATATTACGCTCCCCACTATGTAACTATATCCATGCACAAATAGTAAATTATGCGGAATTAATACATACGCTTATTATAAGTTATTATTTAATTATATCTAAATATCAGATTAATATACATAGATATTTATTTCACCTTAAGCGTAAACAACTCAGGCACACCCGATACCGTACGAGTACTCGCTCACCTTCATGCAAGTATTTCTTACCTATAAACAACACTCTATCGAACACCTGAACTAGATAATATTAGGCTCCCATACGCACCAAAAACTAAATATTAGCACTATATATGAAATGAAAGTTAAACAATAAACTAACTTAACTTTGAAATAAATCTATAAATTATTTAATCCTTACCATGATCTGTGTTTCACGCTTGTCAAACCTTCACCCGTATTCCCACCTGCCATTCAAACCTGCATACATGCGCAGTCGCCTACTTCCGTACTCGTGAGTTAATAACACTAAAACATGCGTGTAATTAAAATAATACCATGTAATTATACCTGCCCAAGTATGTCGATGTGTGACAATATTGACATTTTCATGTTCCTGGCTGTATATAGTTGATGACATGATATTTCTACCTGAACAAACACAACAAATACCAAAACACAAGATTAAATGAAAAGATGCATCTTCATCTTTAAACAAAACATTTTCATTCCTGAAAAAAATAAAAATAAAATAAAGAATAAAAATCAATGGGAAATTGATCCTTTATGTCATACAGTACATGCATTTTACAGGTCGATTTTAAATGAAACAACGTGCAGCATTAATGGCAGTTTAAAAGAAAGCAAATTAATATCGTTATGTATTCTGTTCCGACACGACAGCACTAACATCACACATCTGTAGAAACTACAAGAGTGATTGCCATTGTTCTAGATGATACTAGCCTGAATCTATCACAGAACACATGATTGACAAATAAATCAGAGTGAAACCATCATACAAATGATAGGATTTCCTCTGATTGTTTTCAAAATTCCCTAAATTAGACCTAACTAAATGCCATCACCACAATGGCTGCGGTGAACATCACACGACGTCCCATTAACTTCATTAAAGATCATGGCTTGTAAGTAAACAATTCAATTTAAATCTGCGTCCAGTCTTTAATTAACCCTGTAACACAGAACTAATGATAGGGGGCTATCGTAATCCAATTGTCTGGTAGCACTCGTCATTGAAATGTGTGAAATTTTGCCGCTAGGTGAAAATACCTGCACAGTGCAGGTAAATGTTTTGTTCAAATCATGCCCATGACTGCTGTGGTCTGTGAAAAACCTTTGTTACATTGAAAAGGTCAATTAATAAAACTTCTAACTGTCCGGGGGTAAGCTAGTAGTAATATATAGGGATAAAATTTGGGACTGGACAAAAACTTCGATACATCGAGAAATTTGAATCACCGAAGTTCAATTTTATAGAAGTTTGACTGTATATGCAATATTTTCACAAATTTGTGCGTATCTTCTTATATTTAGTGTACTTTTTATTGAATTTTCTCCCAGATTTTCCTGTTTTACAGCTGAAAGCACCCTCCATTAACCAAAAAAGAACTGATTCATCTTCAGATTAAGAAGAGGAATATCTTTAATATAATTCCAATTTCCAAGAAAATATTATGTTAATATTTTTTCAGTTTTTGTCTGCTTTGAAATAAAAGTTTCAAGTCCTGGTTTTTTTTTCTTATACTTGTATTTGATACCTGGATCTTTGTAATAAACTTTTTTTTATTGTTTTTCATCTTAAATTTCAAAAGCAGTATGTGAGAGCTTGTATTTACAACAGATATGTATGAAGTCATTTTTGTATTTAAAATTTGCATGTAAAGTCAATGAAGTAGAAGAACATTGATGGAATTTCAAAGTGTTCAAATGATAGTGGGAGTTTTCCTACCTTTGTAGGTACCTCTTTTGATTTTATATTGGAGTTATCTCCCATGAAGATACAATTACCTTTCTCATCAAATATATCTGCATTTGTTAGTGGAGTGTTATCTTTCTTAATATTGAATTGGCATAAGTACATTCTTTACGGTATAATTTACTTATCGGAGGGTAAATATTATATAAAAAAAAAATGAACATCACTGTTTGTCTTGTGTATTGATCATCATTAAAAAAAAAGAAAGAAAAAAAATACAGATGACATTCTCCTTTACTTAATAGCCATTATTTCCACTCATTGTTAGAAACAAGATACTTGTATTGTGTTACATAAAAGTCTAGGTGAGGGTACTTAACGTCACAGATTACACAGTTAAAGAAAACAGTCATATCATCAATCTGGATTTAGTGGGGCAAAGAATGGATGGAGTGGTTGTCCAAAATATTCTTATTTCCCAAGGAAGTTTGGAGCATGCTTATAAAAACAGAGTTTATTGGGTCTGAATCCTGTGTTATGGCTGTATTGTGATATAGGACTGTGACTCCATATTGATCAATAAATAAAACATCTGCAATGCTAACAGGTAATTCTACAACAGGTAATCAGAAATTAATGGCATTGACGATTGGCACGGTTACCTGCATTATTGATGGTGTATTTGTCTCTGTATACAAGCTGTAGAGAGACTGTTGGGAATCAACACGGAATAGATAAATGGTAGATATAAGACTTTTGTTTGTGATGAAGAATTACCATATTTATTCTAGTATTAATAACTACCCTTGCGAACCATTTATTTCCTTACTTGTATCATGAAAGTACTAAGTATGTGGTAAACATTCTCCATTGTGAAGAGTTTTTTAACTGCTGTCCAACACAAAATCAACAATATTCTTTTGAAAGAAGCAAGAAAATACCTATAAACACTATTCACTATTTGGAGATGCCTGGGTCTGATTATGGAGTAATACTTTGTAGACTTGATGCCAATGTCATGATTTGATTATGGAGTTGTACTTCATAGTCTTGATGACGTTGTCTTAGTTTGAATACGGAGCAGTACTTCATAGTTTTGATGAGATTGATGTGGCTTGGTTATGGAGCAGGACTTTGTAATCTTGATGACATTATGTTGGTTTTGGTTATGAAGTAGAACTTTGTAGACTTGATGCCAACATCTGACTAAGGTGATCAAATTTAAAGATATGTATGGTGTGGGTACTTGGCGAAATCTTGGGACATGTACAACAGGATCACACTTTTGAGAAATCAATTATTGTCAGAGATTTGATGAGCTCTTGATGAAAAGGAAACATACAGATTTTGAATACTAGATAATCTATCCAAAAATATCCAACTCAAATATTGAATACATTCAGGCTGTTGAATGGCTGTACATTTCTTTGAAGGTAGAGGATCAGAAACACAACCCTAATGATAGAGATTTTGATGGTGCAACCCCCCTCCATTTTGCTGCAAGCAGAGGTCATCACAAGACAATTGATTGGCTTATGAAGGAAGGTGGTGCCAAGATCACACTGGATAACCTTGGAGGGAGTCCACTACACAATGCTGCAGAACTGGGCCAATTACAGGTAAATTGAAGAACATGTATTGGCATTGGAGAACTCAACACAATTTTGTCATACTGTAGAACCACAATAGGCCTTTTTTGGCTACCTGTATTAGATGTAAATGAATGACTGTTCAATTGACCTTTGTCTTTCCATCTGACTCTCTACCCATGAGCATTCATTGTTTATCATATGTCATCAGACAATTCTTTTTACATTTCCTCAAATATTTGTATCAGTACTCAGTTCTAATCCCTGGAAAGTACTAGAGAAGTTTTTTTCTGTTTCCAAGAATACAAAAAAAAGGATTTTTAATTTCACATCCATAAGTTTTATCATATTTCTTTCTCATGGTCTGATATTGTGCTTGATGCATTTTAGAATTGATCCGAAACCTATAAAGATAATTTGATTCCTACTAAGTACTAATGAAACTTGTTATAAACGGCAGTAATCATAGTCTTCAGCAAGATCAAGTTTATGTAGGTATTTACAATTACACGTGTACAGTGAACGTTACTTAATATACAATTTCAGTTAACCAATATAGTTTCCACCCATCATTATCTTTTATACAGAAAACGTTCTCAAAGGTTTTTAAATGGAAGACTCGGTCTTTATATTTCATGTCTTTTTAGGCTTTTAACAAAAAGTTTAAATTCACCCTTTAATATGCAACATGCAATCAGGAAGTATGGACAAGATTTTGTTAAATTTAGAGTTAGTGTGAATGGTTTTGTATCTCTAGATGTAAATCTAGAATTTCTGTTGAAATTAAAAAGCAGGAAGTGTTGAGATTTTCAACATTTGATAAATGTTTTACTAGAACATGATGGTTATAATTAAATAGCTTGACAATTTTACCACAAGTTTTGTTGCATTCAACTTATGGTTCAGTGAGATCTAAATTTAATTTTACTTTTTTGTATGTAGCAATACTAACCAAACTTTATATCCTACTGTAGGGCAGCAGTAGCTTAGTCAGTAGCGCGTTCTGGTATGTTCAACCCTCAGGTGAAGTTCCCAGGAGTGGTTTGGCACATTGTAGGTGTGGTGGGTTGTGTCTCTGAGGAAGCTTAGAGATGAACTAGTCTGTGCTTTCATGGTTGTGGCCTTGAGAATGACACTTACCCTAATTGATCTGAACGACATGCAACATGCTTCTTGTATGTTGTTCAGTAAGGTTGTCACCAGTTTCAAGGTAACTCTGCCTCAAAATGACATTGACACCAAGTAAACAAGAAAAAGATCCATGTTGTGACATGAACACTGGCGAGCCCTATCATATCACTAGCAACTGTAACTGAGCCTTATCATTTTCATTAGTACAGAATTGACATCTTTATTGTGGTTTAGTAGAAATATCATTGTCTTGTGGTATTTCTATCCACAGCTTTGAATCAGATATTATTACCAAAATGTTGATCCCCTGGGTATATGAAATCTAGTGTTTCATAGCAGATTTGTAAATAATTAGTTTAATTTTCTTCTAAAGGTTCAGCATGTACAATCTAGTATTTTGAAATGGTCTTCATTAGAGGTAGTATGTGTGTTGGAGATTTTTTCTCTCCGTGTTTAGCACTCGCATTTATGTCTATCATCACTTGTAGCAGAATCTTGCATGTTTTACTGAACAATTACTGAACAACTGGTAGAGCCTTACACTTAACAAATGTGGTGAAGAGCCAAAGTATGTGATACGGTCCCTTACAAAGGTAATTTGTGTTTCTGTGGGAACACAGACTATTCTGTATTGTTGTGGTTGTGACCTTGGGCATGATGCTTTATCCCGAATGCTTTGGAGATCATGCAACAAGCACCCTGTATGCTGTTCATTTAGACAGCCACCAGCTATAATAAGGAGATCCTGCCCCAAAAGGACAAGTCAAAAGGCTGATAAATATAGCAATTAGACAAAGTTTTACTGAAGACCACCTTGGTATCAGATTTGCCGGAATTTGATTACAACTTCTCTGCTTTTGATACATACTTACATGCATTGTACCAGTAATGCTGTGTCAACTGATTTTGATGATAGTTCTCTGACTGTTGAAATACTGTACCGTCTAATCTGTTGACAATCAGTGTCTTTTATGTACAATGTTTAACAATCAATAGGTACAGTGTGACCTGGAGCACTGTCTTCAGTAATAGTACGTGAAAGAGATAGATCTGTATCCAGCATGTGGATATACCAGTCTCTAAAATCTTTAGGGTGTTTCCTGTAAAATATTAGAATGGGTACAAGTAGATCATCTCAGCTGTGTTACCTGGGTAAGTCAAATAAGTGTTAATTAGCTTTACATATTAATTAGATAAATGAATGAAGTGGTGAATAATATTAACTAATCTGAGTGACTGCTTAATTAGCACAGATAAGTATATAGATTATGATTTAAGGGAACAAACAAGGTGATGATGATTGAGTGAATCAATGAATCTGTGTCTTTCGATGAATAAATCCATCAAGTACAGAACATGTGTGGATTGTGATATTGTTAAGTTTCTGATGAAGGCATGATTAGTTGGTTAAATAACTGGCTGAAGGCTGATTGGTTGGTAAAGGACTGGCTGAAGGCTGGTTGGTTGGTTAAGGACTGACTTTTCCTGTGTTCTGAGTATGATAGATATCCTTATCTAACCAGTTCATAGCCTTACACTTATTCACTGTAGATCAGCTGTGGTTTACTATGATATTCTATAAAAATCTGTACTTTATTTTCCGGGTTATAACCCGCACTAGTATATTAGCTGCAGGACCAGTTTTTTTAGTGAATTATAAGCTGCACCCTTCCTTACGATATTGTGACCACTAATGTTGATGTTTGATAAAATGGTAACAGATAATAAAAGGAAGTTTATCACCAACATCAGTGTAACATTTAATAAAAATTCAGTGATGAATTTTGCACAAATATTTTTGTGTTGAGATATTACATCAGATGTGATATAACTGGCACATTTCCTCAGGTGTGATATGACAGGTACATCTCCTCAGGTGTGATATAACTGGTACATCTCCTCAGGTGTAATATAACAGGTACATCTCCTCAGGTGTGATATAACTGGTACATCTCCTCAGGTGTGATATAACTGGTACATCTCCTCAGGTGTGATATAACAGGTACATCTCCTCAGGTGTGATATAACAGGTACATCTCCTCAGGTGTGATATAACAGGTACATCTCTTCAGGTGTGATATAACAGGTACATCTCTTCAGGTGTGATATATCAGGCACATTTCCTCGGGTGTAATATAACAGGTACATCTCCCCAGGTGTGATATAACAGGTACATATCCTCAGATGTAATATAACAGGTACATCTCCTCAGGTGTGATATAACAGGTACATCTCCTCAGGTGTGATATAACAGGTACATCTCCTCAGGTGTGATATAACAGGTACATCTCCTCAGGTGTAATATAACAGGTACATCTCCTCAGGTGTGATAAAACAGGTACCTCTCCTCAGGTGTGATATAACAGGTACATCTCCTCAGGTGTGATATAACAGGTTCATCTCCTCAGGTGTGATATAACAGTTACATCTCCTCAGATGTGATATAACAGGTACATCTCCTCAGGTGTAATATAACAAGTACATCTCCTCAGGTGTGATATAACAGGTATATCTCTTCAGGTGTGATATAACTGGTACATCTCCTCAGGTGGGATATAACAGGTAGATCTCCTCAGGTGTAATTTAACAGGTACATCTCCTCAGGTGTTATATTACAGTTACATCTCCTCAGATGTGATATAACTGGTACATCTCCTCAAGTGTGATATGACAGGTACATCTCCTCAGGTGTAATATAACAGGTACATCTCCTCAGGTGTGATATAACAGGTACATCTCCTCAGGTGTGATAAAACTGGCACATTTCCTCAGGTGGGATATAACAGTTACATCTCCTCAGGTGTGATATAACAGGTACATCTCCTCAGGTGTGATATAACAGGTACATCTCCTCAAGTGTGATATAACTGGTACATCTCCTCAGGTGTGATTTAACAGGTACATCTCCTCATGTGTGATAAAACAGTTACATCTCCCCAGGTGTGATATATCAGGTACATCTCCGCAGGTGTGATATGACAGGTACATCACCTCAGGTGTGATACGACAGGTACATCTCCTCAGGTGTGATATAACTGGTACATCTCCTCAAGTGTGATATAAAACAGGTACATCTCCTCAGGTGTGATAAAAAAGGTACATCTCCTCATGTGTGATAAAACAGTTACATCTCCCCAGGTGTGATATATCAGGTACATCTCCTCAGGTGTGATATGACAGGTACATCTCCTCAGGTGTGATATGACAGGTACATCTCCTCAGGTGTGATGAAAAAAGGTACATCTCCAAAGGTGTGATATAACAGGTACATCTCCTCAGGTGTGATATAAAAGGTACATCTCCTCAGGTGTGATATAACAGGTACATCACCTCAGGTATGATATAAAAGGTACATCTCCTCAGGTGTGATATGACAGATACATCTCTTCAGGTGTGATATAACAGGTACATCTCCTCAGGTGTGATATAACAGGTATATCTCTTCAGGTGTGATATAACAGGTACATCTCCTCAGGTGTGATATAACAGGTACATCACCTCAGGTATGATATAAAAGGTACATCTCCTCAGGTGTGATATGACAGGTGTGATTTAACATACATCTCTTCATGTGTGGTGTGATATATATAACAGGTACAGGTACATCTCCTCATCTCCTCAGGTGTGATATAACAGGTACATCTCCTCATGTGTGATATAACAGGTATACCTCTTCAGGTGTAATATAACAGGTACATCTCCCCAGGTGTGATATAACAGGTATATCTCTTCAGGTGTGATATAACAGGTACGACTCCTCAGGTGTGATATAACAGGTATATCTCTTCAGGTGTGATATAACAGGTATATCTCTTCAGGTGTAATATAACAGGTACATCTCCTCAGGTGTGATATAACAGGTACATCTCCTTAGGTGTGATATGACAGGTACATCTCCT